AGGGAATTTAAAAGCTTTTAAAAAACTGCAGGAGAATGTCTGCCTGAAGGGGCTGTGTTACTGCAGTCTTACCTCTCTAGTGAATGCGTGTGCCACTCCTGTAATAGCAAATCCAGAAACTCGTAGCAGCGCCTGAGGACAAAAGAAAAGGAGGTGTAAGTTCCTAGCAGGAAGTCATACTTCCTCATTGCGGTCATCTCCGATTTGTTTTGAAACCCTGTTACCTTCTGACAGCCACCGATTTGGAGGTGCAGTTGCTGGTCATTATGGGAATCAGTCGGGGATAGTGTGTGTGCTAAAAAAAACAACAAGGGACAATTCAGGAAATTCAGGAGAAACCACGGGTCACACATAAAATCCCAATCTGTTTTTAAACTGTGCCGATGCATGTCAACTCTAAACATCACACTGCTCTTTTCAATAATAATAATGTTATGATGTTGCTTTATTAGCCCTATACAATTTCTTGCATTTGGAACTCGTCTTTTCGCATACCCCAGCTTGCTCTCCATGGAGACACACAGACAGGGAGAGAAGCTGGGGGTCAGAGCGCAGGGTCAGCCATTGTACAGCGCCCCTGGAGCAGTTAGAGTTAAGGGGCTCAGGGGCCCCAACGGAGTAGGATTCCTCTGCTGGCTGCGGGATTTGAACCGGCAACCTTCCAGCCACAGGCACAGATCCTGAGCCACAGAGCCGCAGCTCCGCCCCCAGTGGAGGTAAGTAAAATTATCCTCTTTGTGCTATTAAAAAAGGCCTCGGATTCAATTTCTTAAACCTCCATGGCACTCCATGATAGGCAGTAGTCACTGACAGTACATCCAAAAGAGAACATGTTACAGAGGGAGGAATATATGGAGCCTTTTCTGCTGGGTTGTCAAACAAAGCTCTCTCATGACCACGGACATAGACATGATTGAAAAACCCTTTCGCACACTGGTATACTCACACGCATGATTAGTCGGATTGCAGCAACTCCAGATGTGGCCATGATTTTGGCACTATTTGGAACTAGATTCAGAAGAGTTGGCATGATTGTCTCTGCACCATGGTCAAATCTGTTTCCCAAAACCGAAGACAGATGCCTGGACAGGGAAATACTCTGTTATTGGATAACTCATATTAACACACCCTGGCTCATAGCTACATGCCAACAATAAGGTCTATCTGTTGAGTTTCACACATGGTTATGCTGTTTGTAATTGGGAACATTTACAATTGAGTGATTACACGTCCACAAGCAAGGGCGTTATTTATGATGACATTTTTTCCCCAGTGCTCAGCAAGTTACTCTTCATTAGGATGACACCAGTGTTAAACGAGCTAAAACAAATTAATCTGGGAGTTCTTCAAGACTGGCTTTAATCGTTAATTGTGGTGGGGGCAAAACTGACGTTTTGATTAATATTTGCAAGGAAATCAAGAAGTTTCCAAATACTGATTTAACGCTTTTTTCCCCATGAATAATTGTGATGCTTTTTTTTTTATCAGACACTAACCCTTGAGTGTGGCACGGGAGAAACAGGCCCCCAGCCAGGAGAGATACAACCATTTTCAGCTGGTCAGGTCTCCGATCTGCTTTTGATTCAAGCGCCATTAAATGCGCGGGCAAACCTTTCAATTCATCCCACCTCAAAGAAATTAAAGCTTGCAAAACGTCTGCTCACCCTAGTGTAATGCACGCCTCCCTCACGACTTGCGAGCGGAGGTCTTTCACTGATAGTTTGAACGCGTTATCCAGGAGACGCAGATGCTGATGGTAGCCATCGTAGTCCGCTGCCCCTGCCAGTAGGAGAGACCTCACCTTCTTCAGCTGTGGGAGACAAAGTCTAATCAATTGATCCGTCTCCCTGATTCATGTGGGAATAACTCAACGTCCTGCACCGCCTTCTATGGGAGAGGTATGACATCAACTCAACCCGAAAAGACAGATCTAGGAAAAACCTTCTGTCAGAGAGCTCCGGCAATCGCTTGTTCTCACATGGCCCTACATGTAATCACAGCCCATGCTCTGTATAGAGGCCTCGTCACGCTAGGGTCACAAGTGGCCCTTAAATGATTCATCATCCCTCATTTGGGCTTAACCCAAAGGCTTGATCTTTATGTCCGAAATATGTGAGGATCTAAAAAGAGGTTCTTTAAAAGGAAAGGTTAAGAGGCCTGTTGTAGCAATTGGCTCATAAGGGCAGGCATATTTTAACTCTTCTACTCACAGCTTTAATGAAAATTCTGAAATTAATGAAAATTTCTGTGCAACAAAGAAGGCAGTAAAACACTGTGCATAGAGAGAAACTAGTGAAAGAAGAAAAACTGCGATGTTAGAATATTTATTCAGGTTACTTTGGAAATGTAGAAATGGCTGTCTGCAATGTAAGGCAAACTGGAGCGGAAGAAGGAGTGAAAGACTGATGTGCTCCTTTTCAGGTGTCTATTAAAATGCAGTGCAGGGCAGAAATCTGCTCTACTGAGATCCTTCACAACACAGTGCGGACAATGCTCACGATTACGGGGCAACACTGAAGCTTACAGCAACAACTCTCTGCTCCCAGTCGTGCTTGTCATCCGATAAAACCTCTCTGATTTTGTTCATTGACTCTTCAAGTTCTCTGTTGGAATAGATCTGCAAAGAGACACAGGAAAGCAGGGAGGTGCAGGTGTTTCACAGATGAGATCAGAGAAAGAGATTAAAAACCCACTGGTTTGGTTTAGATTACAATCCATTTGAAAACCGTGCAGACTGAGGACTCAGAACTACTTCTTAAGAAGTGCATTTTACAGATGTAGGTTAAGCCTACAGTTTTCAGGTATAATCGTCTTTTCTGTCCCCCCCCCCCACTGAAGCGACAACGCTAAGATCACAGTTTTTGCATAACTGTCAACGTCTGGCTTTCACGACAGCGCCGGCCAGCAGCTTGCCTGTACGGTCGGAACATCGTCGAAGGCGCGGATGAAGTCCTCCTCGTCCACGGCCCCTGCGCTGGCGCCTTCTTTTCCTGGAACGAGAGCGCGGAGACGCAACGCTAACAGCCTGCACACTACCGAAACAAAACCTGGCAGGGCGTTTACACTCTCTCCTGCTCACAGCTCTTGTTTCACTTGTTTCACTTGTTCCTCTGTCCTCGTTCTCCTCCAGTCCATTCCAAAAAGAGCACTGGTTGACTATGCTCTACCAATATGAAATTCCACCAGTACACTCCTCTGTATAAATAAATAAAGCTGGTCCTCCAGGGGTTTCTCTTCCACATGTAACACACCATCAGCTCACAGTGCTTGCTGAAAGCCCCTTTCATCAAACATCTACACACCAGCACCAACAGCCTCTCCATCAGCCTCACCTGCACTTCACCCAGTTAAGGGAGCTGGGGACCACCTTGCTCTTGAAGGGCTGCAAGGCTGGTTTGCAAATCCTGTTGCACACATTTTTCACTGCGCTGCATCAAACCACCAAACATTGCAAATATTACAAAGTATTTCCCCCCCCCAGGGTGTAGAATTATTTTAAACTACAGGACACGATAGGAGATAAAGACCCAAAACATGGTAACATCACGGCCCCTGACAAGCAGCCAGCTTCTCACCTGCTGCCTTTACGCCAGTGGGGGGGCCTGGCCTCCGCCCTGAGCCCATGCTGATCCCCTTTCGGCCACTAGAGGGAGCTTTAGAAGAGGAGGAACTGGAGGAGGAGGGTCTGTTCCCATCCACAGAGTCTTCATCGTCAAAATTCTTGTCTGTAAAAGAAAACAGAATGTCTGCTCATATATCTGTGCTTAAAGTGCTAAGAAATAAACATCTATATTCCAAGTAAAGACACAAGTTTAGGAAATGGATGAAAACATGAGCAGCACTTCTGGTTGTTCCTTGGCATTTTCTCATCCCTGGGTTCACAGACACTCTAAGATGATGACAACACACATGACATTTACCATGAAAACAGTCAGTCCTGACACATGCTGATTTCTTTTGACTGTCTTAGAGGAAAGAATATGAGGATATTTTCCATAACAATACTTAGAAGAAAGGATTTGAGGATATTTTCCATAATACTTTTCCTGAAGGACTGAGGGGCCTGGTATGATATTAAAGTAATTCCTTAGGGTAGCAGAAAAGCTCTTTTGCTGAAAAAGGTGAGAAATGTACTAGAGAAAGGAAGCAGAGTAACAGAAGCCATGCAGAACAGATAATAGTACAGGAGAGGCCACAGCAGGTCCTGGAGAGCCACCCACAGTCCACCAGATCTTATTACACTCAACAATTTAAAAATGCTTTGAACGTTTTTTTTTTTACCCTTTATGTTTTACAGCTGAAATGACAACACCAACACCCTGTAGCTCCCAGGAGCCACAGCTGAAGAGCACTGTTTCTGTTATGCATTACTGCTGGGGACTGTTAGGTTTCAACAGTCAAGGTGCTTCATAGATGTATTTACTGACAGCAAAGAGTTTCAGTTCCTTTCCAAAACCACAATCATTGGAAAACATGTTTTATTCTACAGAGCACATGGACTGGGGGAAGCAGAAAATCAGCCAGACAAATAATCAATTGTCATGAATAATTCAGCGAGTCCACACTGCCCGATGAGACTGACGATGCACACCGAATTCACAAGCAGCTCGCGGTTTGCCATGGAACGTGCACACTGATGAACAGATCCGCTTCCAAACTGTAACTACAGCCCAGTACAGCGCAGAGCTACCGTACACACATTACTGCACACCCTGGCTTTTAAACACACAGGCCTGAACTTACAAAAACACATTCTGAGTTCTCAAATGTATTCAATACGTACACGTCAAAATAAGACTAAAGCTGTACAGGCTGTTCGCCTCCCAGGATAGGTTCTTTCTTCCACGCACAGAACAATAAACATGAAATTAAACACTCATTCTTCCGCAAGATATCTGTACAGGGCATCAACGGAGACAACTGATTTCAGTCTTCCTATCGCCTCACCAGATACACCAGCCGGCTCTCTATCCTACAGAGCTCAAGATTATTCTCACCATGAGGGCCTGAGCCTCCATCACTCATTTCCACATGCTGTCTCTCACGCCTGCCAGGACAGAGGCAACCCTCCTGCCCTCCACGCCATCTATTCATTATTAACCAAATATGTGGCTTTGCGTTCATTAACTTCACCATGCCAATAAGATAAGATAAGGTAAGGGATGCTTACAAGCACAGATCCTCTTGCAGACCAGCTTTCTCAACATTCCTTCATGCTCTCAGCATCACCCTCATATCTGACACGGTTTGAGAGGGGTCGTATTTGCAATCAATCCAGGCTGCGATCAATCATGCTCTCTCGCTCGCGAGCGGCGAGGTCTGGGCGTGCTCCCTGCCCACTCTGGGCTTAAACACACAGTCGTCCAATTCCAGAGGGGGCACCTCCGCTGCTTCTGCCTTTCCCTTTGCCGAGTGCACAGAGCACCGGGGCCGGGGAAGTCGTCACCGCTGTGAGCGCCTGTCCCGCGGGAGTCTGGCACAGAAAGGACGGAACAGCTGTCACAATCCGCCACGAACACATGGAGCCAATCCAGCCTCTGACGAGGCCTCACCCTTCCGGCCGGCATGACTAACCCTGCAGAATCCCCGTGGCCGTGCGGCTCAGGTAAAGACTTTTAACGGCACCAGTCCCTCAGAGCACACACAAACAGAAAATAATAAAATGACGTGGCCTGCCTTTGCTTCTAACATCCTTCAGTTTTTTGAAAAAAAAATAATGTTAGCATGCAACAAAGCTGAAGATCTGAAGCCACATTAAGCAACAACCATTTTCTCACAGCACACAGGATGAAACAAATCCATATATTCTTAAATTTCTTTTCTGCAATTACACTGAGGTTCACAGTATGGGCCTCAGAATGTTTATGTTCCAGTTCTCTGCAGTGACAGCCACTACAAGAAAGGTAACATGAGACAGGGCAGGGTTATGCTGGAGAGATCTGCTTCTACTGAGCTTCTTGGGTGACCACAACAAAAGCAAAAAGGAGGAACTACAGTACAATTACATCCCGACTCACTTGCAGAGCTTCTAGAGTGAAGGTTTTCGTGAGGGTAATGCCAGTTAGGAGAATTCTACCAGGAGACTTAAATGAATAGAGAATTTACAGCACACACTGGCAAAGCGCTGACTTGCTTACATATTTCATATTCATGACTATTACTTGTGTACGAAGAAACCCTTATTAAGTCATCACAAGCACATAAGGCTGGAGCGAACACTGATTAATAGAGCATCTTTAATTTATGATGCGCTGAATAGCCAAAGGGACTGTCAGAGTGCAATGGAAACAGTTATTGTGTTCAGGCAACATTAACATTCAGCTCCATTACATCAGAGGCTTTTTGTGGATTCTTTCCTGCTGGACAAAGTGCTAAACCTCTGAACAACTGTATGCATTTTAAAATGATTGGGATGGCTCATACGCTGGTCCCTGAAAAACAAAAGGAAGGCAGGTTCTGGCTGACCAAATGTTCACTGAGACAGAGTACGAGATTCTGAAAGAGAGTTAAAAGTTGCACAAGCATTAGCTGATTAATTGCAATTAGCCAAGCATTGTGAAATTAACAATTAGGACATGCCTCTAAATGTTAAGGTAATTAATAAGGGTACATTGTATAATTAGTATTGAGCCGAAGCCGCATGTAATCTCTGGGCTGAAAGGTTTACATAAACAGTAAAGGGGATACACCTCAATGATGGCCTTGTTCTTTATTCCTCTGGGTGAACATCTCCAGGCACTGGATCGTGTTTCGGAACTAATCCACACTACCTGCTAACCTGACGTCATTGCAAATGAGGCACACCAGACCAGACCCGACTACAGCATAGGTTTTGGATGACCAGTCCTTTAAAATCGCTCCTTTTCAGTAAAACAAATGGAAAGAAAACGGAGGGCCTTTCAAAATGTACAGGTCTGTGCGGGGCTGGCCATCTGTGTGACGAGGAACGCGATTTGAAGGCTACGACGATGACAGGTTCTACTGTGGCTTCACCCAGACCCCAACCAAAAGGAGAAAGTCGAGTTAGAGCTGAACTGTGGAGTTCTTACTGCACAGCCCTGACCTGTCGAGCACACTGAGCCGTGACCCCGGTGTTCCCTTACAATCAGCTGCTGTAACAGAGCCCCTAACTGTTGCACTTCCCACAGCTGAAGAAAGAAGCAGGACAGCGTGACGTCCTGTATACGTGGTCTGAACAGAGCCTGAATGGCATCATCGGCCGGGTCATAGTGGCTTCCTTCACCCTCATTTAAACACCACAAAAGGCAAAAGCATTACAAAATGAGAAAAAATATAATTCCAACCGGAATCGGAGGAGAATGGGACGTTATACTTTGTCCCAGAGAGAAAGATGAGCGACAAAAAAGGATGACCTACAATGTGGGAATATTTCAATCTCCGGACAAATAGCAGCTCATCAGGACAGAGCCCCAACCTGGTCACTGCAGTGTTAAGCGGAAGAGAGAGCTTGTGACTCCCCCTCTGCAGGGGACACTGGGCCATCACAGACATGACCCCCCCAGCAAGACTGATCCCCACTCAGAGAGCTGGGAGGACTGGAGCCACTGGGGTTAGGGTACCACAGCAGTGTCTGCAGCTGGGCCTCGAACCCACAACCCATCAGTTATGAGACCAGAGACGTGCCCACCATGCTACACTTCCCTATATGAAAGGGTCAATAAAGTTATCTGAAGTTGGGTATCATCATCAGGGATCTGCACATACATCTCTCCGGATTATGAGATGTGTAATTTTATCAACCATTCCTGAGAAACTGCATCCCACAGTCTTCCCGCAATCTGTACCTCAATCAGAAGTGCACCCAGTAAAAAGATGTGCTTTGATTACCATAGAGGGAAAGCACTTAACTTCCATTATTCATGTTATCTGGAAAGATTTTTCTTTCCTTTCCACTTTTGAAATTGCAGGTGTTCAGAGACTGGGCAGCCAGAGAACCACATGCAACAATCTACACTGACACAGACACGACAAACCTTTAAATCTGTGTAAAAGATTCAGGTCCTGCACTGACCCAGATGGTGGAAAGACATGTATCTAAAACAACCCTGCACAAAACTGAAGACTAGATGTTTTCTGGTTTGTACTAAAAACTTCAAAAGAGATTGTAGAAATACCAAGGTTATATATATACCCAAGGAAATATAAAACTCAGGTCGAGTATTACAGGGTTTTGTTTGCCTTTTACAAATATCAGGAATTCCAAAGCAAAAAATATACAGACAGGATTTAAAGGTAATGTGTTCCTTCCAAAGTGCTGAATGTCTTGCTTTCTTCAAACTGAAACCTGAACTGGAATTGGCTATTTGGTCTCTTAATTAATCCTTTCTCCTTCAAGGTTAAGGACAGAATAAGTTGGTTTTTTTTTTGCTGTTGAGCTTCTGTTTTGCAAACTGGTTCATACTGAGTGTTTTTCCAACTATTAATCCCACTGTCTTCAGCATGTAACTTCTTACGAAGAGGCACAGAACAATAAGTGACAGAGCTCTTGGCACAGAAGATCGTTAGGATTTGTCATCACATGCCACCGTTCTTTTAAAATGCGGATGCACAACCCAACAGTCGTGAGTAAAAGAGGGGGGCTGTGTTTAATTCGAAAATAAACATCGTAAACACGTCAACAGCACCAGAGCAAGGGCCGAGCTTGTGGAGAGAAACCGCTGCAATGCAGTTGTTACCCGCTCAGTGATGCAGCTGCAAGCCGGAT